AACTTATATAGTCTGTATCTACTATAAATTTCTTTAACGAAATTTACCTCCACAAACGATATATAGTCGAGTCTCGATAATTCGTACCCTGCTAAATGGAAAATCCCGACAAATCGAAAAACAAATTCGACCCCTTGAAAGAAATTCGTTCTCAATATTTCTCGATAATTTGAATTTCTGTGTAAGCCGAAAAAAAAAACTGATCCCCTTGCCATTTCGTATTATAGGAATTCTACTGTACAAGTACAGTAGAATCCGGTTATAACGACACTCAAGGGACCGTCTTTATACCCGGAAGGTGCTATAACTGTTTGAGTTTGCTCATAAAAGTTTGTCTGGGCACCAGAATTTTCGTCGCTATATTCGTACAGACGCTATAAACGGAGTCGTTATAACCGGATTGTCTGTATATATATAAATTCAAATCGCTAGGACCTCTAGTCATAGCATTTCAGATATATAAGATATACATATTCACGCCCCAAGTGGGCGTATCCAATCAGAGAGTACATATGGCAAATTTCAAGTCTTCAGCTTCAATTGGAGCCAATTGTATGAAACTAATAGGCTCTTCTAACTTCTTGAGTGGGTATGGCAGACCTAAAGACCTTAAAGCCTCTACTGCTCCTCCAGCCTGTAGACACGCGTCCCTTTGCCTGCAGGCTGCCTAGCAAAAAAGCGATTTAAATTTGCAGCAGAGAGTAAAAAGCGAATATGCAGTGAATGCCACAGCTAATTAGGCCAATGAACAATGGCGAGCATAATGAATGAACGTGCGTTAAGTTCGGGCGGAAATAATGCAACTATTTCTGGAGCATTTGAGGGTAATTAGGTAAACGTGTATTATTGACACAACATGCAATTGCTTTTTGCAATTGCAGATATTTATAGCCGGAGCTGGAGCTGGAGCTGGAGCTGGAACCGAAGCCGGGAGGCGGTGTCGGCAAGTGGCGTATGTGGGGCGAGGCATGCAACGCATCGGGTCAGAGTATCGCATGGCAATTAGATTAATGGCAATTATAGATGCCAGCTCGAGTGTCGAATGTCTGTTTAAACGCATAATTAATTAAGTGAAGCGCGTTGC